CCTCTGCTGGGTTCCGAAATCTTTACTCACAGCTGCAGACAGAGAGATGGGTCAGACCCAGCCAATCGCCAAGAGTAATGTCTTGCACCTACTTCTCTACACGACACTGCACTCCTGACCTCAGGAATGTGGAGGCAGTTTCCTGTGAGTCTTCCATCTGACCCCAGGCTCATGGACATGGCAGGACTCATTAAATGTCAGTGGATTATCTTTTAGGATCTTTTTACCTCCATAGGTTTCAGGGAAGTCACTGGGCCTGTAGCATCCTGAGAGTCTACTGCACATTCATGACATTTATCTCCAAGGATACAAATGATTTCAGCATTTGTCTGTCTCTCCCTCCTTGCCTGGTAGCCTTAAGTGTTAGCACTTAGGTCCAGTCACTTTCCATCTCTAGCACAAACTAGAACACCATGAATGTGTATAGCACAATATTCAACTACAGACTGGACAGTTAAGTCAATTGAAAAACTCTTCAAATCCTTGGTCATCGTCTTGCTTAAGAAGTCCCCATTCATTTTGCTAGGTGGCAGTGTGTTGGTACATGGAGGGAGGAAGCCTCATGCTTGATCTGCTCCTTGATAACTGGGTAAAGTCGAACAGACCACACTAGCTGGTTAGTTTGATAAGCATGACTGGCCTCAACACTGTGGGCCAGATAACTCTTATCTCTGGCTCAGAGGACATCCAGCCCTAGCTAGCATGTATCCAATAGTTGTGTATACAATGCCTGAGCCCATCCCTGGGGAGGCCACAGTGACCAGGACTGACATGCCTGCCTCTGTGCACATGACAGTAGAGGGGAGATGGTGGAAGAGATATAACTGAATTTAGACAAGAATATGAGATGAGTGAGGAAGGGAAGGTGGTGGGTTATGAAAGCAGGGCAGATTGCAGGGTTTTATGGAGAAGGGGGCATTTCGGCTGAGACTTTCTCCTCTATGACTGGAGTGTGAGGAAAGGGTGCATCAGGCAGAGAGAATAGCATGTTCTGGGGATGTGAGGTGGGAAGATGGTTGTCCATTTCAGGAATGGAAGAAAGCCAAAGTGGCAGAGGGCTTGGACAGGAGAGGAGGAGTGAGTGGCTCAAGATGGTTTAAAGCCAAACAGGGATCCAAACAAAAGGACCCTACTCCATAACCCTAACTGCCACGGGATGGAACTCATCACCAGGAAATACCGGCTATGATACACACAAGAGGTTAGATGGGTTACTATGATGTCAGTCAAGTAGTCACTCCTGAAAAGTCAATTTCAGGTAAATTAGGGATGAGCCATTCCTATTTCAGGAGGATTTTGCAGCTCACCTAATTTCTCTAGTGTTGTAATGAGAGATGAGTTTGTTTTCTCAGCAGTTTTATTGACCACCCAGCTATGGGCACACAATATTAAGCTAATTCAGACTGGTCCTACCCTCTCAGTGCTGTTAGTCTGTGGGGAAGGATCAAAGGTGTTGATCAGGTAATACTATAATGCAATGCAGTGACCATTACTGTGGAATTAGAAGCCTCAGCTGCTCCCAAAGCTCTGGAGACCTTTGTCCCTCTCTGTGCCCAGCAGCATGCGGTGTTCACAATAGCCACTTGGCACCATGTGGTTTGTGGGCAATGGTTCTGCCATGATGCATGTTGTAGAACTCAGCCACTTTGAGCTCCAAGAATCTGTTGCATGGGTCAAGAAATGGTCACCTCCATTTCCCACCAACTTCTCTTGGTGCTAATGAAACACCAAGTCTGAGCTTGAAATTAAGTGGCAAAACACTCTGGGGACCATTCCTCTGGAGTGAGCCGAACTTACCTAGCCTTGAGTTGTGTACTGAAACTCATCTTCCTGCAGGTCTGTGGCCAATCCTTAGGGACTCTTTAAATTCCACAAAGGAAGTGGAGATGGGGAATTGTGCGCCAACTTTTAATGAGTTCCCAGCTGTCACTTAAAATCCTGTGACTTGTTCAGTAATGACCATGGTCTTGGCTTCTAGGGATTTGTATGCCAGCTGGGCTTGGCAGGCTGTGCACGGAAGGGGTCCCATTGTGCTCTTTCATGCCATTGACTTACTCCTGATGAACCTAACTCAGTTCACCTCTCTGTGTCCTCCAGGAAGGGAGCCCAGGGACCCTGGCAGACGGGCTCTGAGCGCATGGGAGCAAGGCTGGAGGTGGTGGATTCAGACAATTTTCCTAATCTCCTGCTACCCCAAGACATCACCTCCACTGAATTCTCTGGGGGCTTTTTGTTTGCTTCTTTAAACAAAGACTAACTAGCCACCAGTGTGAACTGTTCAGCTCTCTTGAGGTTCTTTAACACAGATTGATAGGCAAAGAGAGACTTGCAGGTAGTAGTTTGGGTGGCTCTGTGCCTCAGGGCACTAACTCACACCAGACAAACTCAAGTAGAAATCCTGGCGAGCCACTTCCTTGTTGTGGGACCTTGGTGCAATGACTGGATCTCTCTGATTCTCTGTCTGAAAATGGGGACACCAATAGCACCTGCCTCATGTATAAGCTGTCTGGTACTTAGCAAATGTTCAGGAAGTGCTCGGTACTTATTTCATCACTGAGGAGAGCCCTGTAGCAGCCGGGGTCCAGTGAATAGAATCAACTCACTGTCTACCTACCTTACCCTATGCCTTTGGAACTCCTCCATCCATTCATCCATCAAACATTATTGAGTGATTTCTATATTCCAGGCTCTGGAAATTTAAATACACAGCAACCAAGTTGAGGTTTCTTCTAGTTTTATGAAGATACGAGTTAATGATTCATAGAAATAAATGCTAATTTCAAGGAAATGGATTTGTGTTTGCAGTTCTTGGGCTAGATGTACATATAGTGGAGAAATAAATGGATATAATATCAGAGTCAGGGTGGGCTGTGACAAAACTATTTTCCTGGATTTGAACTCATCCCCAGTGAGGATCAGGTCCCATGGTTGTTTGTTCAAACCTACCGTCATGAGCATGCTATGGAAGCACATACACATGTTGTGTCTTTCCATTATGTCAGCTTTATTCAGTCATAAAGCAAGGTTAACATAATTGTAAAACATTTTCAGGATCCAGAATTCACTGGAATTTTACTACATATTTAACTTGGCTTCATACACGTCACACAAAGCAAAGCCCAAGGCAAAGTGGTACCACAACCCAGAAACAACAGGGGTAAGAAGTTATGAAATCAAATGCAAAGTCAGCCTGTGAGCATGCAGTTGGGAGGAGGCTTTGGTCCGTACTGGGTCAGCTCTCTGCCCTCCTGCTTATTATGTTCAAACAATGGAGGACCTCTGTTGTGTTCAGAGATCAGTCATGCAGACTTTTTGCAGGCAATTGCCTTTTTTGGTGTGGTCAGATGTGAAAGTGCAGCGTTTGGATTTTCTGACAGTTTGTTGCAAAAATGCTTCTTTTTAAAAGGAGTTTAATCAGTCTTGGGCCTTGGTTCAGCTGGTTACCAGATCTGGAAGCCATCAGCTTGTGTTGGTTTCAGCGATATCTGGTCTAAGCAGCAACACCCTTGGCTGCTTATGTCAATGCTTGGCATAAGTTACTTCTTGACATGAGTGACTCCATCTTGCTCTGTACACCTGTTCTATCAGCTCCCCCTCTGCCACAAACTACAAAGCCCCAGGAAGGCATCCTGGTACCAGGTGTGTCTATCCCAGTTCTTAATCACTCTGTTTGACATGTTATAAGTACTTATGAGTTTTTACTCACTACAGCAATTGCAAAATGCATCCTGAAAAAGCACATGGTTTGACCTACTTCACCAAATCATCATGAGACATCTGGTCTACCTGCATTTTTACAATAGCTGAACTTCAGCTAAACTTTTTGAGCAAAGAGCAAGACCCACTCCTAGTTTCTGACAGCTCATCTCCATGGTCCTAGAAGAGAATCGCATTTTATGTTTCTCTTCTCTGCATCAAGGATACAGATGTGCATCTCATTCCCATACAGTTTCAGAATTAAGGAAAGAGATAGCAGGGACCAAATTGGTGTTTTACCTAATTCAAAATAGCATTTGTTAGAGAACAATTGTTCCGACAGACCCGAGCTTTACTGTAACATGTCTATGTAACCATGAGTGAAAGATGTATAAGTAAGTGAGCCTGGACCAGGTCCAGGGAATGGCCATGACTAATCCTAATGGCTGATGCCTGCATCTTCTCAATGATCTCGGTCTCAGGAATCCAGGCTTGCAAATGTGGAGGAAACTCACATAGGTTTTGGAATTAACAGAAGAAGGTCAGACACAATTAAGGGATTGAAGGATTTTTTTAAATGGGATAGAGATCCACTGCATCTGTACAATATAGACCATAAAATTTAATGAAGGTCTCTAAGAGGAAAACAAGAGTCAGACTCTGAGTAGACTGTATACACGGTACCGGGTGATTTGGGCCCAATGAAGGAATAGAAATGAAACTTGGTCCTCTGTATTGGTCAGTTTAGGTTAAGTATGATGAAGTAACAACTGGTGACCTCAAAATCATGGTGGCTGATAACCACAGAGCTCCATGTCTTTGTCATGTTTATGGTCATTGCAGGCCAGCAGAAGCTCTGCTTGAGGGGATCTTCTTCATTGCAAATTTGAAGAAGCTTCCCTCTCTGGGAAGAGCTGGTCTTGTGGCAAGAGCAAAATAAAGATGGAAGAACCACATAAAACTCTTAAGATTCCTGCTTACTCGTGGCACATGTCAATTCCCAACACACTTCGTTGGCCCAAGCATAATCATGGCTGAGCCTGGCCTTAATGGGAATTAAGAATTATAATCCTTCTGCAGGGATGAGCCCTGCTTCTGGGGTACTTCCTCGATTCAGCAGAAATCAGGAAAGGAAAGAAAGGGTGAGCAAGCACAATGCCAAGAGAGGGATACTAGGCTTTGGAGAAAGGTCCTTTATTGTTGCCGCTGTGAACTCAGAATCCAGAAAAGAAAAGGATGGGCCCTGAGGCTGTGTATCATGGGATCTACATTATCCCAGGGTGTGGATATAAGGGCTTGGGTCAACAGTTCTGGCGCCTCTCACAAATGAAAGCAAATCTCCCTAATTCACAAGAGAAGTCACTCCAATGTCCATAGCTGTGCATCAGCATGCAGGCTGGGGCAGTTATATTATCAGGTAGTTCCTTGGAGTCCCAGTTGCTGTAAAGAGATGCCCACAAAATCCCTGAGTAGATGGGCCAGTGCCTGAGCACCCCCAGCCCTGCTCTCTATGAGTGAGGGTCTGGCCCTGAGGGTCTTGAGGCCTCCAATGAGTCATTTCTCGAGCCCATCTTCCAGGCCTCTGGTCAACCCGTTCCCATTTCTTTTTTTCTGAGTAGAGAAATGGAGCTCAAATGAGAGTGGCAGCAGGCAACAGTCTTCAGAGAAGCTGAGGATCTCCAAGTTCTGGGACCACTCTCTTGATTGCCTCATCCCACTGACCCTCTCCCCCTCTCTGAAGAGCATTTACTCTGAAGTCAGATTTTACCCAGTCCAAGATCTAGCTCTGCCAAAAGCTACTTACTTAATTTCTGAGTCTCTGTTCTCCTCTTTTGCAAAATGGGAGCACATTCTGAGGATGTGATGACCAGTGCATTGTAAGATATACTGTATGTGCTCAGACAGCAGATGAGTTTACCAAGGAGATGAATTCTGCCCTTAGCCTGGAGCCATCCAGGGCAGTTTGCCAGACAGGGAAAGGTGATGCTAGCAGATGGAAACATCCAAAGAAAAACAAAGAGTGTGGGGCAGGGCAGGTAACCTCCAGGAAGACATCTGGGTTCAATATTGTCTCCACCAAAAATATATGCCCACATCCTAACCCCAGGTATCTGTGAATGTGACCTTATTTGGGAAAAAGATCTTTGCAAATGAAATTAAGTGAAGGATATTGAGATGAGATCATCTTGTATTAATTGAGTGAATCCTAAATCCAATGACAAGTGTCCTTATAAGGGACAGAAGAGAGAAGACGGGGGAAGGGAAGGGTGTGTGGCCCCAGAGACCAAGATTGGAATGATGGGCCTATGAGCCAAGAAATATCTGAAGTGGCCAGAAGCTGGAGGAGGCAGGAGAAGATCCCCTCCTACAGTCTTTGAAGGACATGCAGCCCTGCTGACATGTCGGTTTGGGACTTCTGGCCTCCAGAACTGTGAAAGAATAAGTTTCTGTTGTGTTAAGCCACACAGTTTGTGGCTCTTTCTTACAGAGTCCATAAGAAACTCATACAGCTGACAAGTGCTGCATTATTATACTCCTGAAGAGGCCCAACCTGCATATTAGCACCTTCAAGGTTCTGAGAAGTCCTGGGAGGTCCTGCAACATTGAATCTATCGTTTCTCAAGCATTTAAATTGGAATACTCTCCCCAAGTAACAAAATAACAATAGCTGGTCTGATAGAAATTGTGGCATGTTGTTTGGGAGTTGCTGCAGGTAAATAGTGAGTGGTCATCAACTCACTCATCAAAAGTCCTGCCAATCTCTTGAGGGTAGGGGACTGTCGTGGATGATTAGGGGTACCTGCATTGCAGACAGGGAGACTCACATGTAGGTGGGGGTTGAGCCATCCATCCACTTGTGGTTGCCTTTCTGGCCCTCTTTGAAAAGGCCTATCCAGGATGTCACCTTCCCAGTTGATGTCAGGAAGCCCTAGGAGGAAAAGGCATACTGCGACGTAAAATTCCATCAAAGCTGAAAGGACAGAGGTTGGAGTGTCTGGGATTTGCAAGAGGACGAAGGTACAGAGGAGCTCTCAGGTGGGCAGCAGACAGAGACAGCCATGCACAGTACTTTATATCCTGATGTGAACTCCAGACCCACTATGAGCATGTTGTATGTCTTCAAACAAGTAACCCACCCCTTGGTGTCCCCATCTGTACGAAGCAAAGAAAATCAGATCAGATTAGAAGAGTATATCCTAGTATAGCCTCCAGATCAGAAGAATCAATTGTGTGAGGTATATGTATGTAGAAAGAAGTACTGGACAAATACTGGCTGTGAATGTTTCTTAAGGTCAATGCATGTCAGAGCAAGGGGTTTGATCTGTAAGCCATAGGAATATCTCTGGCTGGAAACCCAACTCCAAGGACATTCTTGATGCCCTACTTTGATCCAAGCCTTGTTCCTGAGATTGTTTAGATCCAGTCCCAGGCTTATAAGCAGGTAAACCTGATGCAGTGTGAAGTTCTATGATGAAACCTCTGATGATGTCATGAGAGAATATGGAGAAGGGATGTTTGCATTGGGGTTTTGACAGGTGAGTAAAAGCTCTCCACACAGATAGCAAGAGTAAGAGTGCTCCAAGCAGAGGGACCTAAGGATCAGAGCTTGGAGGCAGGACCACAGAGCAGAGAGTCTATTCCCTGCATGTCATAGCCGTGAGGTTGGGTAGAGGCAAGAGGAGGCAGGTCTTGAAGAGCATACTAGAAGTATTGTGCTAGATCCAAAAGAGACAAAAATATGAACCCCCAAATTCTTTTATAATACCTCCCCCAACCTGCTAAGATTCTGGTTTTCCCTTTTTCCACCTGCTCTGTTCGGCTGTTGATGACAACCAGGTGAGCTTGCTTCTGGACACAAGAATCATTAGCCTGGGTCCAGGTGAGCTTGTCCGGGGAGAAGAAGTAGCAGGAGCCCTGAAAGACCTTCCAGCCCAGGGGGCAAGGCTCACAAGAGGTTTCTGTGGGAATGGAGCCATTAGCAAAATTGGCATGTCCAGTTTTTCATCCAGTGAAGAGCTGTGTTACCCATCACCCCCTGGTCACATTCCCAATGGCCTCCCTTTGAGCACACCCAGCAGCTGGAAATTCACTACCTGGTAAGTTGGTGCTTCCCATCATTGAGTAGTATCAGAAGGAAATAGTAAAATGCTATGGATATCCTATGAGGTGGGGAAAAGAGATCCAAAGAACACTGTGGAGTTAATAGCCTACTTTTGTATAAAATAGAGGGACATGTGTTTGACATCCTCATTTGCTTGAAGAAACTCCAGAGTGGTGATTCTCAACCAGGGACAACTCTGCCCCCAAGGGACATTGAGCAACAACTGAGACCTCTTTCAGTTTTCTGACCTCAGGCAGGGTTCTCACACGTGGTGGGTCAACAGCAGAGATGATGCCAAACACCCTACAATCCACAGGACAATCCCCCACTGTCCCTCATTGCAAATAATGATGCAGCCCCGAAGGTCAATAGTGCTTAGTTTAAGAAACTGTGCTCTAAGGGAAAACACATATAACCACATAATATAATTACAGTGGTTCCTGAGAGTTAGGTAGGAACTTGGCAGCGAGGGCTAAGGAGTGATAGAGGGGATTCTCGTCTCATTCATCTATATCCAGTTAGTGAACAGACACACACACACACACACACACACACACAAATTAATCCTTTTTTTTAAAGATTTATTTATTTATTTATTTATTTATTTGACAGACAGAGATCACAAGCAGGCAGAGAGGCAGGCAGAGAGAGAGGGAAGCAGGCTCCCCGCCAAGCAGAGAGCCCGATGCGGTGCTCGATTCCAGGACCCTGGGATCATGACCTGAGCTGAAGGCAGAGGCTTTAACCCACTGAGCCACCCAGGCACCCCAAATTAATCCTTCTTATTTGCAGATTCCATATTTGCAAATTCTCCTACTGACTCAAATATATTGGTAACCTCAAAATCAATACTTACGAAGCTTTCCTTGTCACTCACAGAGATGCATACAGCAACAAAAAGCTTGAGTCTGAGGTAAAATAAGGCAAAGCTCTGCCTTCTTGTTCCACCTCTCAGACTGTAAACAAATGTTCTTTCCCTGGACTATTTTGTGCTATGATTTTCACATTTTTATGCTTTCTGTCGGTGATTTTGCTGTTTAAAAAGTCTCTTGGGGTGCCTGGGTGGCTCAGTCAGTTACGAGTCTGACTTCGGCTCAAGTCATGGTCTCAGGGTCCTGGATCCTCAGGAGATCTCACGGTCTCCTGGTCCAGCATTGGACTCTGTGCTTATTAGGGAATATGCTTGTCGTTCTGCCCCTCCTCCCACTCATGCTCTCTCTCTCTTTATCTCTCTATCTCCCTCTTTCTCAAATAAATAATAAGAAAGTAAATAAATAAAGTAAATAAAAATAAATAAATAAAAATAAATAAAGTAAATAAAAAATAAAGTAAAAAAAAGTAAATAAAAATAAGTAAAATCGTAAAAAATATGATAAAATTAAAAATAAAAAGAACCTTGACCCTCAAGTATAAGGCAGAAGTGCTGTCGGTGTTCCTAAATGAGCACGAAGGTTGCAATATGCCTTATCGAGAAAATGTATGTGCATTAGATAAGTTTCTTTCAGACATGAGTGATAGTGCTGCTGGCCATGAGTTGAATGTTAATGAAACAGTAGCTATTTAAACAGAAACACACAAAAACAGGGTTATGTCTTGATCGATTGACCAAACGTTATGGCCAGAGGCTTAAATAAACCTAACGCTGTTATTTCCCCTCTAGGAGCAATGATTCAATATGCACCAGTTTGTCATTTGCAGGGATTTTATAAAACGTAGCTACATGAATAATGAGATTTGCTTGTATATTTTGTGAATGATATCCACTCGTCCACTTATATAAAAAAGGTGTGACGCCGAGAGCACCCCCTTCAGAAGCATCTGATCCCAATGGTTGTTTGGGAACAAGGAATGTACACTGTGGCGAATTCTCCAGGACTTGTAACATGCTGCTATGAACCGACCACATTTTGTAACACACTAGTGTGTTATTAAATGTGGCAGCTCTGGATCCTGACCGCCTGTCTTGGAGAAAATACTGTTGATTATCCCCATTTTACAGCTGAAGAAACTGAGGCTCAGAATGGTTTAAATGGGTTGCCCAAGGTCATATACAACCACAAGCCCAGAGAGGTCTTGCTGTCTCAAAGGTCTTGCTTTCCTGGGAGCCCTCCAATACAAATATGATTTGATCACGTCACCTGAACTTCCTAAGAAGATCTGAGAAGCCATTGGCTTTGGGGTGCCCCTCTGAGAGCCACTGCTGTGGGCAGCCCCAATGTTAACAGGTGCTGAAAGGAACACAGCCTCTTCCCTCTCCACCTACTCTCCTTACCGTTGCCTGCCAGTACAGCCTTCATTTGTCGGAACACTTCTCCCCGGATGAAGTCCCGGTCGTGCCCAGCATCTCCCAGTCCCTGAGTTACTGGGAGGCCCAAAGAGAAAGGGCTGGTGAAGGTCTTGGCAGAGAGAGGAGATACGGTTGAGGGGCAGGAGGCCAAACATATAGAACCCCACTCACCTTTTTCTTTGAGTTGGAAGACTTCCTTCTGCATTTGTTTTGTCCTCTTCAGTACTGGGGAGAGGTGCAACCAGGTATCCTGGACCCCAGAACTTCCCTGGGGTCTCTCCCTGTTCCTCAAAGCCAAGGCTTTCTCCCATTCCCAGGGCAAGGCCTTCTGAGGCTCCAAAATGCCCCCCCCCATTTTTCAGATGAAGAAACTGAGGCCCAGAGAAAGAGGTAGAGGCCCTGTCCAAGGCACCAACTAGTGAGCAGTGAGGCAGGACTTCTATTTAGGAGGTTCTGTTGAACTAGCTCTCTATAGTTGTTAGAAGGGAGCCTGGAGTTTTAGTCCAAGTCAGGGATGAACTTTGGGGAGACACTCACCAATGACTCAGACTGACTTCAGTCCATACAGCTCCCAAATGCCTCTGAGACTGATGGGTAGGTGAGCTCCACTCTGCTATCACTATGATCCCCCTAGGGACACAGACCAGCCACCCCTGCACTGGCCTTGTAGACCTGCCTTTGCAGGTTGGGAGCTAGTGTGCTTGCTTCCCTGTGGTCACCCTGTTCCCACTGGCCCACATGCCTTACCTTCAGACAGGACCACACTGGAGATAATGACCACGAGAAGCAGGATCAGGGACACGAAGAGGCAGAGATACTTCCAGGTCTTGTCCTGGGATGTCTGTCCCCATAGCCCTAGAGGAAACCAGGTCAGCCTCCCTTTCCCCAAGGATATACACTCTTTTGCCCCCTGAGATGCCTCAGACAGTCTGCAGGAAACTGCCATATCCCCTGGGGTATTCTGGGTTCACTGCTGGACCCACCTGATAGGGAGGGCTCAGAAAGGGCTGGGAAAAAAAGCCCATCCTTCTAGGATAAGAAGTCATGGGGGTGAAGGCCAGTGGGATGAAGAGGGCTTCAGGAAGACTCACATCCCAGGTATTCCCTTCCTCTAATCTATGAGGGAATCAGAGCAACCCAGCACCCATCTTTTGTTGAAGTAAAGGGCCCCTGGTCCCAGCTCCTTGACTCACCAGTGTTCCCCTGCTGCGGGGGGAGTTTTGTTCTCAATGCTGTAATCTCATTGGGGTTTGGGGACTGCCTGGCTTCGTCCATGGCTGCAGTTTACTCAGCTCTGAGATTCCCCTGCCCTGCAGGGGTTTCTGAGTGATCTACCCAGCTCTTAGAAGGAAGCACCCTCCTCCCCAACCCTCCCACACTTGTCTTCCTTCCTGGCTCAGTGCGGGGCCCCAAGATCTCTAGATGGTCGACAATCAAGTAATCTGATAGGGGAAGGGACCTGGGCACCTCGAGCAAAGGCAGTGGGCACCAAACTTCTCCTGAAAACTTGATCTCTGCTCGAGGAGGTTGAAACACAAGACAACACAGAACCGAATCCAAATTCCTGTACTCAAACCATTGCCAATCTTGGCTTCTAACAGCTTTCTGCGAACAGTTATCTTAGGTTTGCCCAGTTGTGGACATGTGGCCTTAGGAAATAATTTTTTTTAAAGATTTTATTTATTTATTTGACAGACGGAGATCACAAGCAGGCAGAGAGACAGGCAGGGAAGCAGGCTCCAGGCCAAGAAGAGAGCCCAATGGTGGGGCTCGATCCCAGGACCCTGGGATCATGACCTGAGCTGAAGGCAGAGGCTTTAACCCACTGAGTCACCCAGGCACCCCAGGAAATAATTTGCATGATTCTACTCTTGGCAACTGAGGCCAGTCCCACTTCCCATTCATTCATTCATTCATTCATGCATTACTCTAGCTAGCTAATTACCTATTTATTATTTTAAAGGTTTAAATGTTGAATATAAGGAAGAAGGAGCTAGCACTTATTGACTGCCCTCTGTTTGTCAAACATGATGAAATGCCCTTTACGTACTCTATCATTTCATCTTCACACACACACAAAAATGTCCAAAATAGTGACTGTTCAAAAAATGAAAAGCTTGGCATGGTGAAAACACAAGGCTAATAAAAAGCACAGCTAGGATGTAAATTAATCCTTTCTTACACCAAGCAGTCTTGCCCATTATTCTCTGCTGTGTTGCCAACATCAATACTATGCACTTGAGAGAAAAAGAAACATCACCTAGCCATCTGCTATGAGTTGAGTTGTAACCCTCGTCCTCCCCAAATTCATGTGTGAAAGCCCTTACCCCCAGGAACTCAGAATGTGACGGTGTTTGATAATAGGGTCATTGCAGATGTAATCAGTTAAGATCAAGTCACACTGGAGTAGAGTGGGCCCCTCATTCAATATGAGTAGTGTCCTTACCAAAAAAATGGGAATTACACACAAGGAAAATATCATGTGAAGATAAAAGTAGACGTTGAGGTGAAGCTTCTACAAGTCAGGGAACACCAAAGATTGCCAAAATATCACAGAAGCCAGGAGAGTGGTTGGCCGCAGACCGCTTTCTCACGCCCACCAGAAAGAACTGATCTGCTGACACCTTGATCTGGGACTTCTGTCCTCCCAAACTGTGAGGCAACAAATATCTGTGGTTAAAGCACTCAATGTACCATACTTTGTTATAAAAGCCCCAGGAAATTAATATATCACCTATTTTGCGTATTGCATTGCAATCCTTAGCCACACGCAAACCCATTTTATGCAGTTATGACCACAGCAGTCTATATCACAGTGTTTCCACGTGCATCTTAAAATCCTGATAATTTTTTTAATTCCTTTTTTTATTCATTAAATTTTTTTATTTTTTATAAACAAGTAATGTATTATTAGCCCCAGGGGTACAGGTCTGTGAATCGCCAGGTTTACACACTTCACAGCACTCACCATAGCACATACCTTCCCCAATGTCCATAACCCCACCACCCTCCCCCTACCCCCATCTCCTCAGCAGCCCTCAGTTTGTTTTGTGAGATTAAGAGTCTCTTATGGTTTGTCTCCCTCCCGATCATATCTTGTTTCATTTATTCTTCTCCTACCTCCCAACCCCCCCACATTGCATCTCTACTTCGTCATATCAGGGAGATCATATGATAGTTTTTCTCCGATTGAAAATCCTGATAATTTTTTAAACAGGAAAAAGTCCTCACGCTTATTAGGGATCAGGAAGATGCAATCTAAATGAATAAGGAGATATTACTATGTGCATATCCGATTGGGGCATATTTTTAAATCCGTCACTAAGCGTTGGTGAAAATATGGAGAAACTAGAACAATCATACACTGCTGGTGTGAGTGTACATTGTTGCAAAAATTCTGAAAAACAGTTCAGCACAAATAACAAAGCTGAGAACACAAACACCCTTGGGGTTGCACTTGTAAGTGTATATCCAACCCAGTCGCATGCTTGTTTGCATGTTTATGCCTTCACAATTTTTTGTAATTGCCCAAAATGAAAATAATCAAATGCCCATCTAAATAGGTTAGAAGAATACAACTGTGGTGTATCGTTATGACAGAAAAACAGAAAACATACATCCATGAAGATGAGCCAACAAGAGCTGTGTACAACAGCTTGGATGAGTCTTTCATATTTTATTCTTGTGAGAAAACATACTCACATGCACGCACACACACACACACACACACACACATACACATACACACAAGACTACAAAACTATCTCTCCATAAGCAAAATCAAGTATCCAAAACAATTTGTGGGGGAGCCTGGGTGGTTCAGTCGTTAAGCATCTGCCTTTGGTTCAGGTCTTGATCCCTGGGTCCTGGGATGGAGCCTCGCATGGGACTCCCTGCTCAGCAGGGAGCCTACTTCTCCCTCTCCTGCTCCCCCTGCTTGTGTTCCCTCTCTTGCTGTCTCTCTCTATCAAATAAATAAATAAAATTTTAAAAAAATGTCCTACCTACTCTCAGATGGATGAACAATGAAGAGTGTGTGAGAGATAAACAGATAGGCAGATAGGTGATAGATAGATGATAGATAATAGTTCATTAAAGCACATCTAGCACAGAGTTAATAAATGGTGAATCTAGATGAAGGGCACACAAGTCCATTGGACTATTCCTGCAACCTTTCTGTAGATCTAAATTTTTTCAATTTAAAAGTTGTGGAGAAAAAGTTCAAAAATGTGAAATGCTAATGTTCATAGAGGTTTTGTATGTAATAGCCTCAAATCTCAAATAACTAAAACGTCCATCAATTTGTGAATGTATAAACAAATAGTAACATCTGTGCAACGGACTACAACTGAGAGATGAAAAAGAAATGCGTTCTTGATTCGTGCAGCAGCATGGGCGGTTCCCAAAGGCACGTTAAGTGAGTGAAGCCAGACCATAAGGACTAGCTAACTATAGGACCTCCTCTACACAGAGCTAATTATAGTGACAGAAAGCAGAATATACTTGTCTGGAATTGGGGATGGGGGATTGACTGGGAACTTTGAGGGAGTCATGGAAATGTTCTACATCTTGATTGTGGTTGAGTTTCCATGCCAAATTCATCAAATATATATAACTTCAAATGATGTCATTGTATGTGAATTATATATCAATAGAGTTGATTTTGTCTAATAGCAAAACTAAACTATATTGTTTAAGGGTATAGAGAGAGATATACATCGGTTAAAAAATTGTAAAGAAAATTGGTAAATGATTATCAGAAATTCGGGATACTGGATAAGTCTGGAGAATTAACCTGTGTGATGAGAAACGCGTATGTGACGTTTCTGGATCTGGAAGCATCTTTTACTGCACTTGGGTTGTAAATGTGTGAACACTGATTACATAACTATTCATTGATTGTATATATTTGTTTATACATTTTGTGTATATACATTATATTTCACAATAAGGATCAAAATGTTGTGAAAAGAGATATGAAAATACTTTGCAGAGTTAAACTGCCAAATAACTGTTAATGGAATAGGGAACTTTATAGTTCCCTTGCTTTTTGGGATCAAATGTAAAAAAAAAAAAAAGATTTTCCAATTTGCATGACCTACTTGACACCCATCTATCAATTAGCATTTTCTGCAGACCTATTTTAGAAGACAACGTAATGATAATGTCATCTTACTTTTTTTAAAAAAGATTTTATTTATTTATTTGACAGAGATCACAAGTAGGCAGAGAGGCAGGCAGAGAGAGAGGAAGGGAAGCAGGCTCCCCGCTGAGCAGAGAACCTGATGCGGGGCTCGATCCCAGGACCCCGGGACCATGACTGGAGCTGAAAGCAGAGGCTTTAATCCACTGAGCCACCCAGGCACCCCATCATCTTACTTTAACCACCAATTCAGAATATTTTTATGTCTGATATTGGGTGATATTGCCCTCTAGATGATTCCCATAAATTTTGTTTCCACCATCCTAGAGATAAATTATTTAAGGGAGGTGAAAGATAAGGACAGAACCTTCGTAGACCTGGACTCACCATCAGACAACTCAGAAGCGTTGGAGAGATAAAAATTTAAACCCAAAGAACATGCCAATTCATGCATACAGAATGAGCTAGGTTTACCATTGAATAGAGAAAAGGTCCAGAATGCCTGCATGTAGGCTGTAATTGACTACCAAGATGTAAATTTTCAACTCTATTTTATGGAATTAAAACTGCAGTTGATACACATCACCTTATGGTAAACAGTTGGCACTTACTGAATTCACATGGGTTTTTTTTGTATTAGCCATGCCTTTTAATTTCCTGATGTGTTGACACCTAGGGCCTTGCTGACTCTGGAGAGACTAGACAATTTCTGGAGGGAGCAAACAACTCACTTAAGAGTACCTCATTCATATGCATGTCAACGCACCCAAAGCCCATACCCCCAACTACCTCCTTTGTCTAGATACAAATCGTATAATTCATATAAATTTTATGTAATTATTTATAAATATTCATATACCTATTTTATATTTACAAAGTATTTATAAACATATTTTTAAATTTATATGCATTTAATTATATCTAATATTCATCAAATATTTATAAAAAGTCATTGTATATATGTCCCAAGAAACACTCAAGAGATTCCAAACCACCCATACCTTCCTACTGCTCGTGAACCCTCTGGCTTAACCACAGACCGCAAGAGTTAAAACCCAAAACAGACAAGACCACTTAACTCATTTTTTTTTCTTTATAAAATTATTTATTTGAGAGAGAAAGTGAGCAAGAGAAAGAGAGCGAGCGCGAGTGGAGAAGGAGCTGAGGGAGAAGCAGGCTCCAGG